ATATATATATAGATAGATATATATAATATATTATTTGTTCTACTTAGGTTTTTCGCAGAGGACCACTAATGATGCCCGAGATGAACCCAAGAGCTTCTTCAGAGTCTCGAGTAAGTTCCTTTACCCTCTCAAGCGAATGATCTGTTGAGCAGATTGTGAGCTTGTTAGTGAGCAGTCGATGGTGATCAGCAAAAAGTGATTTGGTAAGAAGGCCCGCTAGTGTTCTTCGATCATAACATGGTGGAGATTGATATGGTGTAGCTTGAGGTGATCACGAATAAAGTGATAATCAACCTCTTTGTGTTTAGTGCGAGCATGAAAAATAAGAAAATTTACCAAGGCGATGGGCTGTCACTATATAGTCTTGTTGGTTTTTGTGGTGCATTGGTGAGTTCCTGTAGTAGCCTTCTGAGCCAAATAATTTATGTAGTCATGGCTAGCACTCTGTACTCTGCTTCTGTGGATGAGTGAGCTACGGTTGGTTGTTTCTTATAACTCCAGGAGATTAGATAATGACCCAAATAAACATAGTAACCTGTGGTAGATTTCCGGTCATCTAGATTACCTGCCAAATCAACATCAACATATGCATGCAAGTCGAGGTTGTTAAATATAATTGGTAACCAATAAGTTAAGGTACCTTTTAAATACTTGAATAGCCTCTTTAGCATTTGAGAATGTTGAGTATTTGGATTATGCATGAATTGGCATAAAAAATTAACTGTAAAGGTAATATCTGGTCGGGTTACAGTTAAATATTTAAAATTATATGAATTGGGTAATGGAGAGGGACTGTTATTAACAGGATATGGCTTGGTAGGTAAGGGTGTTAAAACAGATTTAGAATCAAACATGTTTGCATATTTTAGCAAGTCATTTGTATAATTTGTTTTATGCAAAAAATAATCATGATTCATTTTATTTATTTGTAACCTGAGAAAATGAGAAAGTTGACCAAGACATTTTAAGTTGAAGTAAGTGTCGAGGTTATTAATTAATTGATTGATGACGCAAGCATTGATTGTGGTCATCAAAATATCAACAGAGATGAGGAGAAAAATTCTAGTATGCCCGTGTTGGTAGATGAGAAGAACAGAATCAACTTTAGTTAACTGAAATTTTTGATTGAGAAAAAAAATTGAAAAGTAGAGGACCATTATCTTGGTGCCTGTTTTAGCCCATAGATTACTTTTTGCAACTTACATACATAATTGGGATATTGATTATTATTGAACCCTGGTGGTTGAGACATATGTCTGGCGACATCAAGTTTGTCATGTAAAATGGTATTAGAAATATCCAGTTGTTGAATTTACCAATTTTACATAGCGGCTAAGGTTATTAGCATACGAATTATGGAAAACATGGCAACAAGACTAAATATTTCATCATAATCAATATCTTGCTATTTGCGTGAACCCATGGGCTACGAGACGAGCTTTATAGCGAGCAATGGTTCCATTGGAATGATATAATACGAAAGATCCATTTGGAGCCTAAAATATTTTGATTGGTAGGAAGAACAACAAGTATCAGGTGGCTTGTTGTTTAAGCGCCATGAATTCTTCAGACACGGTGTTTCTCCAGTGAGAATAAGCAAAGGCTTGTTTGAAGATAATGGGAGTATCCATTTGATGTTGATGTAATAAATTGAATATTTTTGTAGGTTTTAGGTTACGTGTTTTGGAACGGGTAACCATGGGAAGAGTAATGGTTGGTGTTGGTGAGTGTGAAGGAGGTGAGGATATAGCTTGAGAGGATGTGTTGGTTTGTGGAAGGGAGAGTGAAATATTGTTAGGTGTATGTGGTACAATTGATGGGTGAAAACAGATAAAAATGTTTCTAAAGTTGATGTTGGAACTAATAAGGATGGGGGCGATTGACTTGTAGATGACTCATGAGAAGTTGTCCAAGAGAAAAGATCTTGACAAGGAAATTGGTTTTCTATAAATTTGACATGTCGAGATATGATATTGTTGTTTAGATATGTCATAGCAATGATATCCTTTATGTTTGGTATTGTAACCTAAGAAAAATGCACAGAGAAGCTTTGGGTGTAAATTTGTGGCTGTGTGAAGGAGGTTACCATGATAAGCAACCACAACCGAATGTACTCAAGTGTTGATATTCAGGTATTTTTTTGAAGAGAAATTGAAAAGGGGATTGGTTAAATGTGTTTGGAGACGGAAGATGATTTATTAAATAAACAACGATATCAACAGTAGCCATCCAAAATTTATAAGGTAATTTTACATGATTTAATAAAGTTCTAGCAGTTTCTATGGCATGTTATTTTTTACTTTTTGCGGTACCATTCTATTCAAGTGTATACGGGCAGTTAACTTGATGTTGGATGACAATATTTTAAAGATATGTTTAAAGATAAGTTGTTTTACATTCACTTCCACCATTTGATCTTAAATATTTAATAGTTGTATTAAATTAATTGCATAATTGTTTGTATAGGGTATTAAAACAGGAGGAGACATCTGATTTGGAAACTAATGGAAAAAAACCAACAGTAGTGAGAAAAACCAATGGTGGATCCGGCTGCATCTATATTGTGTACCATAGTCTTTATTGTTGTAAAGTACTGCATCATATTGTTACTGCCCATTATGAGATTGTGCAATTCATTTTTTAGTTATTGGACTCTAGAGCGATTGGTTGCTTGAAATTTTCCTTCAAGGGTGAGCCATATTTCCACTTTGCGGTTGAGATGAAGAACATAAGGCAATACCGATGCTGATATGGTTGAAAACATAGTTGCACTTAAACTATGATCCACCAATTTCAATAACTGATAATCTTGATAATTGGTGATGGAATCTTGAGTTGGTGTAGAAGGGCCTGAAATACTGGGATCTAAAAAAGATTTGAATTCATTGGCAAAAAAGAGTTTTTTTTAAATTTCTACCTTCCATATTGCATAATTTTCATACGTAAGAGTAGGGGTGTAAACGAACCGAACACGAACGAACAAAGCTCGTGTTCGTGTTCGCGTGTTTGTGTTCGGTTCATTTGAGATTACGTGTGTTTGAAATAGGTTTGTATTTGAAATTGTTCATGAAGTAAATGTTCGTGTTCGGTTTGATTTGTTTGAAATATGTTTTAAATGTTTGAAATGTTTGAAATGTTTGAATTATTTGAATTATTCATTGTTTGAATTATTCGAATTGTTTGAATTGTTCGAAATCTTACAAATTTGTTTGTATTGTTCGAATTAATCAAATTGTTTGAAATTTTTCAAAAGCTTAAACTTATATGAAATTAATGTTTAAACATGTATGAATCACAACACAAATGAAAAATAACCAAAGCACAACTTACAATAAAATCATAATATCATATCTCATCCTTAAAAAAATCAGATCTGGAGTCAATATATGATATTTCACTCTCAAAAACTAGGTTTCATTCAAAGAAACTAAATAAATTTAAAAGAAACATAAAAAAAAATTAAGCTAAGAGACGAACCCGAAGAAAAATACGAAATTAGAGAATTTAATATAAGTTAAGAGGCGAACTTGAAGATCAGAATATAATTTGTAGGATTTGATTTTTTAAAATATGATAAATTTTTAATATATAATTACTTTAAACTATTTTATATTTCGAACAATAACGATTCGAACACGATCGAAAAAATGATTGTTCGTGTTTGGTTCGTTTATAAACCGAACGAAAAAAAATTATCTGTGTTCATTTCGTTCTCTTATCGAATGAATAGAACACGAACTCCCTGACGAGCCGAACACGAACTGTTCGCAAAAAATAAGCTTTTTTGACAGCCCTACGTAAGAAGGCTGAAAACCACATTTTTTATGTTTGTCATCAGAAATTTTAAAGCGGCTGGAATGCTTATTTGCTTCAATTTGTTTAGAGTATCGGTGGGTTGCTAAGATATCTGGGGAGATGTTGAGGATTAATCCATGGATCTTGACGCTTTAAAGCTTATGCTCTGATGCCATGAGAAAAATTAGAGGAGAGAAATTTGAAGATGAGAACAAAAAAAAGTATTTTTATTACCACATTTGATATTACATCAAGCCAGGTTATATAGAGCCTAGAGTGGCGTCCTTGCAATAGACAGAAGAGGGTAAAAAAGTAAAGTTACAATATATGATATCTAATATATATATATATATATATAATT